TTAAACCAAAAGTAACAAGCCTGTTTTGAAAATGTAAGTAGTAGAAAGTACAGATAGTAAAAAGTTATCAGGAAAAAAAAACATTCATGTTAGAGTTTAGCAGAACAGGTTTTCCCAAGCTACCCACAAACATTCCCACTGTTGCTGGCCTTTTTTAACCATCTAGATATTTTCTAAATAATAAACAAAGGTTATTTTTTGTGTTTGGAGTGCTTAAACAGTAAACACAGGATTATGACTTCTTTTTATATAGTACATATGTACAGTTTCAGTTCAAACCTGTGGGCAGTAAATACTTGGCACTGATAAATCGTATCTGTGTATTTGCAGGAGTCTCAACCTCATTCAGGTCTACTACAGTCTTCTTTCATCACCTTGTACACTATGTTTCTAACCTGGTCTGCCATGACCAATGAGCCTGGTGAGACTGTTTATATTGTCTGGGAATTTCAACAGACTCAAACAATCCTTTATCTGTATATATTTATGTTCTTCTCCATTCATTTCAAATAAAATATCTTTTTGTCTCATAACCTTAAGATTTATTGCTTTTTGGAAAAGCTTTGGGTTATTTTGTTCAAATTGCACCTAAGCTAACACAGCATGATGTAGTTAATTATTATTCCATAAGGTATTTATACATGAAGTATTGCAATTTTAGGTACTATTTTCAAGTTAATTTCACAGAGCTCTTAAAAACATATCAGTTGTGCACCACGTGTAATGATATAGAGTATGTCTCCAAATATGTCTGTGTCAGTTTGTGTAGATTCAAATATTGTGTTTGTTTTTGAAAGTATTTTTTAATTATTATTGTTATTGTTTGTTTTGCTGATCTCAGAGCGGGAATGCAACCCCAGCCTGTTGAGTATCTTCCAGCAGATCGCAGCCCCGACCCCGGGCCCTACAGAGACCGAGAACCAGACAGCCACCATGGCAATGATTACCACAATCACTGGGACAGAAAAACCTGCCTTTACATCTCCATACCTGCAGTGGTGGGATGCTCAGAGCGTTGTGGGCCTCATTATATTTATCTTGTGCATCCTGTATTCCAGGTAACATTGTGTAAAG